GGAAGGAAAAAGAGAATAAAGGGAGGGAAGGAAGAAGGCAAGGAGGGAGAGAAGAAAGAGGGGGAGGGAAGGGGAGAGCAAAGAAGGAAGGAAAAAGAGAATGAAGGGAGGAAAGAAAGAAAGGAAGAACGGAGGGAGGGAGGAAAGGGGAAAGCGGAGAGGGGAGAAGGAAGGAAAGGAAGAAGGGAGAGAAGGAGGGAGGGAAAGGGAAGGAAAGAAGGAAGGAAGGAAGGATGTAAAGGGGTAGAGCGAGAGAGAAAGAAGGAAGAAGAGAAGGAAGGGAGGGAAGGAAGAAAGGGAGGGAGGGAGGAAAAGGAAAGAGGAAGGAAGGAAGGAAGGTAGGTTTAGCTGGCTGGGGAATTCTGGGAGTTGAAGTTCCCCCATCTGAAAGCTGCCAAGCTTTAAAGCTGCCCCTTTTACTGACCTCCAGTCCGAGCCCTTCTCAAACCAGGTGCTGACCAGAAACCAGAAATTCACCTGAAGAACGTCCTGGATTGAGAAGGGGGCTCTGCCTAAAATGGCTTCTTATCTTCCAGAGGTGATTGGCGTGGCCGAGCTGGTGAATAAGATCAACGGGTCGTGGTTTAGCAAATTCGACGAGGACCTGGCCACCGCCTTCTCCATCTACTGCGGCATCAGCATCGCTCACGTACGCGGCTTTTATGGTCCCCCTTCCTTGTTTTCTCTTGGCCCTTGGCTCTCGTCCAGGTGAAGCTGAGGCGTTTCGGATCCCACCCACCCCCCCGGGGGGGGAAATCCCAGGATCTGTACCTCAAGGCAACCTCCAGGAAGGTTCCGCATCGACCCGGTTCCTTCTGGGAGGAGGCTTCTGGGGGAGAGAAAAGCCCGGAGAAGGAACTTAGGACCAGCTTTCCCCCAAAAATAAGACCCTGGAGCCGGTAGGGAGGTCTCAAGACCAGCCTCACCCTTGGAGGAAGGGTGCAGGAGAGACAGATAGACAGCCAAAGTGGGGGGAAGAGATGGACAGATAGACAATTTACAATAGAGAGAGATAGAGAGAGATGATAGCTAGATAGATAGATAAATGACAGATAGGGATATAATAGATGGATAGAGAGATTAGATAGATAGATAGATAGATAGATAGATAGATAGATAGATAGATAG